TTTCTGTTTAGGTTGTTTAATCTTGGCTACCTACAGTCTGTCGGTGGGAAGATGAAAGAAAGCGCAAAGTTAAGAACGCTTTTCTAAAGATATTCAAAACAGTTTTTTTTAATGAAATAATACCCACGCACGCGGCAGGAAACGTTTAAGAAAATATATTATTCTTTGTATGTTTCTTTGTTTGAAGTTAAGCAGAAAATTACACAATGGACTATCTGTGTTCTGCCAACCACGGGTATCGAAACCCGGTTTCTAGCGTTGTAAGTCCGCAGACATACCGCTGTGCCACTGTGGGGGTGTTTTTTTTTTTCATATCCTCAGTATAGGTGTACCGTGTCGTTTCATAGTTGGTTATTTATTCATAACGAAAATAACTTACATATCACTTGAATCATATGATTAAATAATAATACTTTTTAGGCAGTAAATCTGCCTTCCTAAATTTAATGTAATGTCCACATACAAATTTTAAAGTTCAAGACCTGCAATGTCACAAAAGTATGAATAACCCTTTCGTTTGACGTTACCCGGTGTCCAAGCGGTGTATTGTTGCATATATATATACAGTATATGTGTTAGAAATATGCGTATCGTTTTGTGGATGTCTCATTCGGAAAACGTTTGCTCTCCATCCAGATTATCAATTGGTCAATTTGATTGTTGATAAAAAAAAATCAGCTCTTTTATTGGATGCGTCGTGCAGTATGCAGAGTTGAAACAGTTCCAGAAGTACTTATGGTACAGTTGTGGCGATCGGGTATCAGTCATTTTCATGGTTAGTAACCTCCACGATCACATAAATATAATTATTAATTAACTAATATTTTTTGATAATTAGTATAATATATCATCAAGCTCTAGTTGAAGTTGTTCACTACACTAAGATTAATTAAGTCTAACCTAACAACTAACACAGAGAAAATATATTAACCAACTCCTCAAAAAGCATAAAAACAAACAAACTTGAAATAGAAACAGTCAAACAACTAATTGTACCTCATAGCACCACTCCACACCTCTATAGCATACCTAACATTCACAAACAAGGTCTACTCTACAAGGTCTCCATCCTGCAGATATTTACATTATGTGACCTCTCAGCTGGATGTATTGTATATATGATATCGCCAATATCAGGTAAAACATTCTAACATATTAAAAACTTAGTTCACTTTGTACAGATTATAAAATCAACCATGATAACTCACAAGAGGCAATGATCAGCTTTACTGTATCCAATCTCTTCACTAACCTAACAATCACTGACAAATACTTCCAACATCTTGAAAATTGTGGAACTCTTAAGGAGCGGGTCCAGCTTATAAACTCCACGATAATAGAATTCACAAGATAAAGATAAATACTACCAATAACAAGAAAGCCTAGCTATGGGCTAATCTATATCCACTACTCAATAACTTATACGTGGAACGTTTAGAATTTAATGTCTTTAAAACAACTGCTCTAAATCCCAGGGTTTGGTTCATATACGTTAACAATGTAATTATAATATGGCCACACAATAAATATAAGATGCAAAAATTAGTAAACCAATTGAACATACAACATCCAGAAATACACTTCCCAGTTGGAATAGAAGAAAATAACAAACTCTAATTTATAGACGTGATGGTTACCAAGACACATAACTCAAATGCTATAGAGATTTCTGAGAAACCCACAGATATAGGTAAATATCTCGACTGTAACCCAAACCATCCCTGTAGAGTAAAGGCGTGCGTCGTAAACTGTATAGTTTCAAGAATGAACAACCTTTTTAACAATGAAGGTGCCAAAGTGAATGAAAAACACATCACTAAAACACTCATTGACAATGGATCTCCGGAACACTTAATAAAGAAGAAAATAAATAATATAAATACTAAGATTAAGGGGAAAATTGTCATGTACATAGCCATATTCCCTGTGTCAAAAGTATCCCTGAAAACAAGGGAATATGTAAACAACCTGAAGTCAGAACAGTATTCAGAAACCACAATACAATACGATCACAGTTAGTGTACAGCAAGCCACCTAAATACCCAAAGTAGACAAAATAACATAATTTTCAACATATATTTTTGAACGTGGACTCCAATACATTGGAAGAAGAAAAAACAAAGACCAAGAAAAGTTAGAATTCTGGAACATACATGACTCATTAATACCGATGTATCTGCAATAGTACATCATGCCATAAAAGAATACCATAATATGTTGGAATAACACTAAAATAATGGGATATGAATCATACACGAGAAAAAGAAAGATAAAAGAAGCCTTCTACATTAATATAACTGATAGTAACTTCAGCCAACGTAACAGAGAAGTCATCAAAACTTAGATACACCTCTTGAAAGAATTCAAACAAGTTAACTGATTAAAATCCTACAACGGAGGCGATTCCAAGTGAGTGGATAGCACACTAGCCTATCTATCACAACGACCCAGGATTGAATCCAGGCCATTAACAATATAAAAAGTCATTTTCAGGACTTCCCTAAAAAACGACAGCAAATTAGCAGCCAATAGAAAAGATAAAACCTAGTTAGTAATTAGGATGTGGTAATTTATAAAAAAAAAAGTAACTAATTAGTAAATAGGCTTAGGTGATCGACCATTAACTATGAAAGAAGAGACAAAATAAAACAATAAGGACAGAGAGATGGTGAAGTACCAAATTCCTTATTAAATAGCAACGGGACTGAAAATTTTCCTGCTAGTTTTGTATCATTGTGAATACTATATACATGTTGCTTACACAGCTTGCTATTTATGATGTTATCTTAATACCTCTCTCTCTCACACACACACACGTATCTATTACTCCCCCCCACCCCCACCCCCATGAAAAGTGAGACAAGACAGCAGCATCACAGAATTTTCTAAAATTTCCATTTGACAAGAAGCCTTAACAGCTCAAGTTGAATGTAATTTGATAGCTCTGGATGAGGATATTTGATTTGTAATACTTATTTCCATATACACGTACCCACTTCAGGGTTATAATGTAAATTCATCCTTGTGTGTTTATCTATAACTTTATTATTTCTTTCGTGCTCCTGATAATATCTTCTAAGAACTAATATCATGTCCCCGGTGGGACAGCGGTAAGTCTACGGATTTACAACGCTAAAATTCGTGGTTCAATTCGCCGCGTTCAACACAGCAGATAGTCTAATGTGGCTTTGCTTAAACAACAACTAATATTCTAGTGTTGTTTTCTGTAACTCTGTTTGCTGATCTCCTGGCCATTGGAGAGAAAAAAAATGGGACCAAAAACGTCGAATTGAACGAAAGATCTAATTTTGAAAAGTGTCAGAACAGTTTTTATTGAGATTTTGTAAAGTGCAAATGTGTTTTATCTGTCCTGAGACCTCATTTGTTTTAACTTGTAATATTCTATCAAAACGTATTTTGTAGCTGAGGTAAGTATATATATTGGATTATTGTAAAATATGGTTTTGTGAAAATCTTTTTACGCATTTTAATTCGGACTTTTAGTTTGCACCTTCAATACATACAGCGTTATGTCTACATTCTTATAACCGTTACCCCCCTCTTTTTTATTCTTGTATTATTTAAACAAATTTGGGTTTCTTTACCATTTATTTTCAGAACTGTCTTTGGATATAAAGGTAACATAATCACAGTTTTTAAGAAGTATAAATACGTTTTTGGCATAAATTAATTTTCGATATTGGGGTTGATGAGCACAGGTTTAGTCGTACGTGAGTAAAACATCGTTTTTATGCTTGTAGATATAAGAAGCTATTCATGTTCTGATTGTTTATGTCTACATAAAGTTTATTCTGCATAACAGTGCCGAGATAGCTATTAAAGCAATCACTTCAGGTAACCCAAAGTATTAAACTTAAAGTAATTTGAAAGGACTCTAAACTACACGATTTAATACACAATTACTACACCAGAGTCATCCCAAGTAGCTGTTTCTTCTGTCAATGGTATTCTTAAGAAAATCCCATTTTAGAGGGCTTAGCATAGCATCAAATAAACGTCTTGATATGGCCCAAAACCAATAATATATTTTACTAAAATGTTCAGAATTCTACAAAGATTTTTTAATAGATCACCTACTACAACTTAAGAATTATTAGCTAAGCCAGCACTTCCCGTACTTTTTTCTTACATGATCCCATTTTAGAAGGCAATTTTTCGCTATCCCAGATAGCACCTAAAACAACAAAGCAAATAAAACATTCACTTGTTTTTTCAATGAAGAAACAAAGTAGGCCTAATTGTAATCGTCGTCTCTAGATCTCATCGACTAATGCTGCGACCCCATGTGGGGTCGCGACCCACACTTGGGGAACAGCTTAGTTAAGCAACATAATGGCTGGAGACGGCTTGAATGGGTAATGAAGAAAAACTTTAATATAAGTTTAACATAACAGCAAATGTACAACGTTTCGACAAGGTTTTGTCATCATCCTTTTCAAGCCGTCTCCAGCCATTATTAGTCTCAAAGTGGGTTCCTCGTCATCGAATTAGTTAAGCAACATTTATCATCGAGTATGTAGAAACTTAATTGTCAGTTAGTAACTGTATAATATACAATATAGTATTTTAAAAATACTTAGTATGTTCCCTTAAGTCGTCGACAGCTAGGAATTATATTAAAAAGAAATTGAAGAGCATTTCGTAGTGTCATCAAAATCACAATATATAATCACATATACTATACTCATTACTCTTTTGAAAAGTTTGTTTATAACTATAGATTATCAAACGGGTAAAAGTGTTATTTGTATGGGAAAAACCCTTATCTTGCACCATAGTTACAAGGTTTACATTGGATGTTAAATCATCGCATAACACACGTAATACTTGAAATGTACACGTATTTTGTAATCTAAGTACGATGTTTCTGAGAACTAGTTGAAACCCTATCGTTTAGAGGTATTTGATAAAAGAGGGCGCCATTTTAGTTCCTTAAACGGGACTTTGACCTCATCACTGTTACGCTGAAGTTAGGGTGGGGATGGACGATTCCATGTGTAATAATAGCTAGTTGTTTAGATTGGGTGAGTGGGTCTCTGCAATTCGTCCCTGTCTAGCTTCGTGGAGTGGCATTATGATTTGACCCACCAGCAAAAATAGGCCTGTCAGAGCATTGCTAAGCCCATGCTGTTTCTTAAAACAGGCTGTAACGTGGCTAGGGATATGCTGTAGAAAAGTGTAATGGTCTCGGCAGCATCGAATCAAGTCTGCGTGTTATCGTAGTCCACGACTTTACTATAAGAAGAGTAATCTCATCATTCTGCGCATGCTGAGTAACACAAGACAGCACGTGAGTTATAATTCTCAGTTTGATTTATCGATCTATTAAACTTACACCAGCTGGTCGAATGATCTCATCCTAACTTAATAAGAGCTTTTTATGATACCCTGCTGATAAATATATTATCATAATCAAGTTTCGCTCTCACTATACGTTAAGAATATATTACTCTAAGCTTTATTTTATATTACTCTTAGCTGCGATATGATAGTTTCAGTCCTAACAGACGAGTGATATCACGTTTCTTCAGCAAATACCAAATAATTGATAGTAACGAACAATGTTAGTAGTAGTATGCAGAGAATTTGTTCACGATAGTAAAAAAAAAATACGCAGGATAAAAAAAGTTTGGTAAATCATATTAAAAGAAAGGACAAAACCTTAGCGATTTCGACAGGTAGATCCGTCTTCCTCAAAGGTAAAGATATAGAAGACAAGTTCACTTGGTGAAAGCGCTAGGGTTTTAGAGTTTTTCTTTGTTTTTTATAATTCACCAAATCGTAGAGTGTTTATAAGAAGAAGTGAAACTATGGAGGTTCTATTATAAAAAGAACAACTGGTAAATTTAGAACTATAAAGGTTACATGTAGGTACAACTGACAAAACAAAACCGACTTATAATTAACGAAGAAACATGACAAACATTTTCTAAAAGTAGAAGCTTAACCATTATGAGTTGTAAGTGATTTAAATTAAACTGATGATGCTTACACTTCACTTACTTAATCTGGTTGACACTACCGCAATTGTTGTTCATGTAACTCATGACAGAAGTAAAACCAAGACCACTACTGTGTTTGTCGTATCGAAGCTAGCATGATGAGCCCTGGTATTGGACGAAAGACCTTGTCGACATTGGATATGGCAGATGTGCTAAAGGAATTTAACTAGCATCAAACCTAGGGTATTAAAGGAACTTAATTAACAACAAACCTAATGTGCTAAAGGAGTTTAACTAACAACAAACCCAAGGTGTTAAAGGAACTTAAATAACAACAAACATACGGCGTTAAAGGAGCTTAATTAACAACAAACCTAAGGTGTTAAAAGAGCTTAACTAACAAGAAACCTAAGATGTTAACGAGCTTAATTAACAACAAATCTAAGGTGTTAAGGAGCTTAATTAACAACAAATCTAAGGTGTTAAAGGAGGTTAGCTAACAAGAAACTTAAGGTGTTAAGGAGCTTAATTAACAACAAATCTATGGTGTTAAAGGAGGTTAGCTAAGGTGTTAAGGAGCTTAATTAACAACAAATTTGAGGTTTTAAAGGAGATTAGCTAACAAGAAACCTAAGGTATTAAATGAACTTAAATAACAACAGACCTAAGGTGTTAAAGGAATGTCAGCTAAATCAGGAATGAGCTGGCAATTTTTTAACAACCGGTTCTGATTAAGGTCGAAAGTCAGTGATACATTAATATAAAATTGCTCTAACTTGTGAAACATGTAATAGTTAATAGTAAAAAATATAAGGTCTTTTTTGCACCATTTCAAAATAAGTTTCTATTGACTGCTAAACATTTATTAAAAATCAACGAACGGTTCGGTGATCCAATCAAAATTTAATAACTAGTTCAGGCGAACCTGTCCCAGCACACCCCTGAGCTAAAGCGTATAACATTAACATCGTGCACAACAAACAACATTTACTGTACGTACACAAAGACAGCGACAGTAATTACAAATACTAGCTGGATATATAATATCATTATTATAAATTTCTGACTTTCTGCTTTAAAACATGTGGTAAATATGGGCTCCTGGCAATAACTAACATCTTTCTTGTTTTGTTTTCCTTTAAGACTTTTTTTTTCCGGGAAGGTTGAAGTATTAATGTGTTAATTTGAAAGAAACATCCGTTAAGTGATACTTCAAGAAAAATTCCAGTGATAAGTGATAACATCTTATTAACAAAATCCTTGTTAAGTTTTTTTTTGGTTTGCTCTTGACTATTTTTCCTAATGAGAAACTTTATGCCCTGAAACCGTCGAGTGTTGTGGCACGTGGCCAAAAAAAAAAAAAGGAAGAAGACAGAGCACTGCTTTCATTAATATTTTACACTCTTGAGTGAAGAAACTTCCTAGAAATGCGAAGAGAGATGGCGTGTAAATTTTTCCTGAAAATAATGCTACTTTACTTGCACCGAATTTGTTTTCGGCGCCAAGTTGGACACAAGAAAGATTATTCGATTATTCTTACTCTATTTGTGAAACCACGCTAACTCTATTTGTCATAGATATATGTCTCGAAGACATTTGTTTATATCATTGTTAAATAATGTTTTTTGTATATTTAGGTGTAAAACTGTACGATTTTTTTTTTTACTTTTAGCGAGACCTATCATTGTAAGTTAATATTATGAGAACCTATACTATAACATTACTATATTATCAAAAGCGCTAACACAGCCTACTTTGAGAGTTGCTGTTTATAGTTTCCTTAGAGGGCGATTCCATCTTTGTCGCTCAACATAGCCTAGATTCTGTTAAGAACACTTGCTACCAGTCATTGGTCCACCTGTGGTAGAGTAGGCTGTCAGGGATCTTGTAAAACAACTCCAAGTGTGGTAAAGGTTTAAGATTTGTCTCTTCTGTTACTCATGTGGCACTCTTTAGACTCCAAGTGTGGTAAAGGTTTAAGATTTGTCTCTTCTGTTACTCATGTGGCACTCTTTAGACTCCAAGTGTGGTAAAGGTTTAATATATGTCTCTTCTGTTATTCATGTGGTATTCTTTAGACTCCAAGTGTGGTAAAGGTTTAAGATATGTCTCTTCTGTTACTCATGTGGCACTCTTTAGACTCCAAGTGTGGTAAAGGTTTAAGATTTGTCTCTTCTGTTACTCATGTGGCACTCTTTAGACTCCAAGTGTGGTAAAGGTTTAATATATGT